GTCCTTCCCTCTTGGTTGGGAGGGAGAGCTGCTTAAAAAGAACCTTCCCTTGCAGGCTGTCTCCCTCTGCCAGAGAAGACTGGCTTGCTCTCAAGACAGCAAACATTTGACCACTGCAAATAGCAGTGAGCATGTCAGCTCATTTTATTCACATCCCTCACTAGGGAATCAGAAAGCCAAGGACACACTGGCGATTTCCCTGGTTTTATGGATCCTGACTCCCCCCAGGCCTCCAACACATTTTTGGTTCGTGTGTTCACAGTGTCCTGGCATCTGTAGTGTGGGAAATCTTCACTGAGAGCCAATAGCCCCACAGCTTCTCCCTATTAAAATGTGCAATTCGATTTCACATGTGTGTTTCAAACACCATTCAAGGCATGATTTACAGGCTACTGTCTAGCCCCACAGCTGTTTTTCCATCCTTTAGACTTAGCTGTTTCTAGGAATCCATCATCCAACTCCCTAGCAAACAGTCTTTCTACATTGGGCTTCCCCAGTCATTCTTGACTACGCAAAATTATAGAAGACTTAAAGTAAAGATTCAAGAAAATATTTACTGAATGAATAAATGAGGAGTTATTCTTGCCACATAATTAGTCATTCGTAAGAACAGTCCATTTGATGCCTTCTGTTTATCCTATCTTCGAATCACCTTTTTTGTCATCAAATTAAACAAATCACTGCTCGTCCAATAGTAATACTTATTTACACTATATATATTAAAAGCAGCACAGTTTCAATGATTTGGCATAGGCCTCACTAAATAGTTAACAGCTTTTACAATTTTCATATTCTTTCTTAAAGAAAAAAAATAGAATCACTTTTATATATGAGAAATTATCTTACCATGGCTGAACAAAGCCAGATTACCTGTGCTATATAGTGTCACTCAATATCATATTGTCATGTTTCAGTGACAATCCCTTCCCCATAGTCTAAGTTCCTGCAATCTAAAATCGCCACCTAAAAAGTTTAGGCCTCAGGCTTAGGGTTGTGGTTAGCTTAGATGTGAGTGCTAAGAACAGCTTCTAAACCTTTTATTTTAAGCAGTTGGAGGGCAGGACAGTACTTATTCGTATCTGATTCATCTGTGTATAATACATCTCTTGGCACAGGGTACAGACTCGGGAAATTACTGAGCTCAACTCTTCCTTGTCTACGCAGAGGAAAATAATCCATACACTGGATGTCTAGAGGATTCCCTCATCCTGTGATTTTGCAAGGAAGAAAAACAAAGTACAATTAGAGAGAATGTCTCATGAAAAGCCTTTGTTGGAAATAGTATTTTGATGGATCAGTTTCACCTACACAGCTCCACAGGTATTGCTTCCATTTCAGATGAAAGCAAATAATTAAAAGTCACATAAGGCTAACTCTCTAGCCTAGTGGCAAAAGGACCTGGATCCTCACAAGGCCAACCAGAGTTCAATCCCAGATCTGGCAGCTTGAAAGAAACAAACTGAGTATATGTGAATACATGCCTCAAATCCCGACAGGATGGAGAAATGGACAAGGGATTGCAGCATGACCATTGGGGGAGGGGTACTTTCTCCCTCCCCTTCTCTGTTTCCCTATCTCTCTGTCTCTGGCAAGCAAACACACCCTCTGACAACTACAAAAATAAATCATGTAATAAAACCTTGCAATTAAGTTCAAATTGGATTTTGCCCTCTGATTACATTATACCAATCTTAACCAGTGAAGAAAAACTCAAGTGTAAAAGAGACGCTTTATGTATCTTTTTACATGTACTCTTACAGCCCTAGGTTTGAGACCATACAATTTTCTGGAAGGAAAAAACAGAAACAACACAAGTCTTCACCTACATTTTAAACTAATCCTCACAGTTGAGGAAATCGTGTGCTAAATCCATCAGAAGTAGTACCATTATGACAATCCTTTTTGGTTAAACAGAAGTCTTTTAAGACAGGGATACCAGTAGGAGCTCCAGTATTTAACACAGTGTTGAATGATTTGCAAAGAAACCACCAAGCTCTACAACTCAACAGAGGCAACTTTTCATCTCAGGACTTACCTTTACATTTCCTTGTTTAGGACCTGACCACAGAACTCATAAATAAAGATTTGTTTAATCTTTTGATAACCCTACAATTAGATCATGTTGACAAGCTGGACCATCAAATCTCTAGGACACCTGAAGAGTATCTCAGTTTTTATGCTTACATTAAAAAAATCAATGTAAAAAATCCCCACACCTTTTATTTGCTATAAATGGTACCAAAGATGAGAGCTGCTACCAAACTATGAAAATCACAGAAACCGGGACCACCATATGGTGTAATGGTTACATCACTGGACTCCCATGCGATTGACTGTGGTTTGAGTCCTGGACCTGGTGGCTTAAAATTTGTGCTAGGCGCATGTGCGTGCGTGCCCAAAATCCTGAGAGGAAAATGGAGGAGGGATTGCAGCATAGCCATTCCCCTGGGGGGCGGGGGGGGTGATTTCTCACTTTCTGTCTGTCTCTCTGGCAAGCACACATGCCCTATACCAAAAATATCTCTTTAAAAAAATTACAGAAATAAACCCACCCTTTATTGGGGTCAACAAGTGTCATGGTGGTTAAGGTAGTGGACTCCCTTATGGCTGACCACTGAGTCCTGGACCTGGTGACTTGAAAATCATGCCAGGCATGTGTGTGTACATGCCCCAAATCCTAAAATGAAAATGGAGGAGAAGAGATTATAGTGTGGCCATCCCCTGGGAAGTGATTTCTCACTTTCCCTCTCTCTGTCTTTCTCTGGCAAGCACAGGTATCCTATGGCAAAACCTAAAAACAACCCTTTGTTGGGAACCAGCAGTTAGCATAATGGCTATGTCGCTGGACTCCCATGTAATCGACTGCGGTTCGTGTCCCGGACCCGGTGGCTTAAAACTCATGCTGGGTGCGTGTGCGTGCGTGCCCAAGATCCTGAGAAGAGAATGGAGGAGAAGGGATTGCGGCATGACCGTGGTATCCTATGGCAAAACCTAAAAACAACCCTTTGTTGGGAACCAGCAGTTAGCATAATGGCTATGTCGCTGGACTCCCATGTAATCGACTGCGGTTCGTGTCCCGGACCCGGTGGCTTAAAACTCATGCTGGGTGCGTGTGCGTGCGTGCCCAAGATCCTGAGAAGAGAATGGAGGAGAAGGGATTGCGGCATGACCGTCCCCCCTGCAGGGCAATTTCTCACTTTCTGTCTCTCTGTCTCTGTCTGTCTGGTGAGTGCATGCGCCCTATAGCGAAAACCTCTCCAAAAATAAAAAATAAAAAACCTAAAAACAACCCTTTGTTAAATACTACTATGTGTCAGTTGTTGTACTGGGCATTTGCGTGTCTTTTCTCATTAATCTCTCAAGATAATTAGTTGAGGGAGATACCATGATCCAATTATACTTATAGATCTAGGAAGCTAACATTACCCAGAGGAAACATGACTCGCATTGAGAAAACTAGTATTCAAATCCAGACATTCGCTCTACTTTCTTTCCAGTCTGCTAAATTCCTCCATACAATTTAATAGTAGATCTTAGGAGACAGTGTTTCTCCTGACCTGGGAAAAATATGAAGGGTCTTCAAAAAGCTCATTGAAAATGCATATTATGAAAAAAAACCCATGCCTGTATTTCAAATTTTTTTGCACCAAAATAACTTATACTTTAATTCCATTTTGCCATGAACTTTTTTAAGTCTCCGTGTATTCAAGGAAGTAGTAGTTAGTTGCTACCAGAGACACTACAGAAAGTATTCGAGCATTAAGAAATGAGGAAGATGGGACCTATAGGTGGTGTGGTGATTGAGGCACTGGATTCCCATATGGCCGACAGCAGTTCAAGTCCTGGACCTGGCAGCTTGCTTTCTCACTTTCCTGCTCTCTTTCTCTGGTCAAATTAAAAAATAAGACCAATAAATAAAATTAAATAAATGATTATTTTAAAAAAAGAGAGAGATGAGCAAAGTACTCTATTCCTCTAAGACTCTTCAGACTTCTTTTATTTCTCTAACTCTCTGATTCTGCAATCATCTGGGGGTGAGCTGAGTAATCAAAACAGGTCTGTTTTCTGGTTTGATCAAAATAATCAACTACCTTTCTGTTCACCAGGTGAGCAGGCTTCAAGACCACCTACTCTCTTCTCCCCTACAGTTTTGGTTAGATTGCCAGTCAGCAGACCTCTCCATGGCATCCCATATTTCTTCTGAAGCTCCAAAATTGGATAGCTAATGTTTCCTCAACATCCTTTGACTACAAGAAATCAGTGTTATCCCTAACATATCAAATGACAGGGTCAGATATATTTAGCCTATTCTTTACCCTCTCCATTCCTCCTCTGAATTTTGTGTAGTTAACTTACATGTCAGGCACTCCAGACCACTTCACAGTACATATATTTTTTTAGAACAAGACTTTTTTTTTTAAAAAAAGAGAGAGAGACTTTTGTTATAGGGCTCGTGGACTTGCCGGAAAAACAGAGAGACAGAAAGTAAGAAATCATCACCCACCCCACCCCCACTCCCCTGGAAGATGTCCATGTCGTAATCCCTTCTCCTCCATCTTTCTCAGAATTTGAGGTGTATACACACATGTGCCTGGTGTGTGTTTGAAGCCACTGGGTCGAGACTTGAACAATGGTTGACTACATGGGAGTCCAACAAAGTAACTTTTACACAATCTGCTATTCCAAGACATGCTTAGTATCCTATTCACTTTCTTGCTGGAAACCACAGTGGAAGTTTCCAACATGAATCCACCCCACATAACATGCCTTTTCCACAAGCAACACTCACAGTATAGACCAACATTTTTACCACAGCATCACAAAGATGCTTGAGTTTACTTCCCCCCAACCTTTTTTTGCTTCAACTTTTTCACATTTCTTCCTTCATTTGAACCATCATTTTTCACATAAGATTTTCCTTTAGAAAGAATGATTGGCAATGGATACCAGCCCACCATGACTCTTAATTAGTTAATTCTGGCTTGCAAGCAGATTTTTACCATTGGAGTCTTCCACTTCTTCAGTTGGGGTGGTTTTCTGGGAGGAGTGGTGGGCATGTGAGGAGAGGAGACTGACGATCCGTGGTCTGGGGAGTGTCAGGGCTTTCCCATGGACTTTGAGGGAGTGTTCCTTCAACTGACTGATTGTCATGGTGGAAAAGGAGCACCAAGAACACTTGTAGGCATGTTCACCTGCAGAATGATAATGGTAAGAGACAAAAACAGGAAAAAGAGGGTAAAGGGGGGAAGGATGTCAGGCAGGGTTGGAAAACAAATAGCATGGTTAATTCAGTCTAGAAAAGTGCTTCTCAAGCTTCATGGTCTATGAGTCTTCACAGATCAACTCCGTGCCCATTCCTTCAATCACAATGCTCCTCTGGGATTGAAATTCTTCCACAGCTCCATAATCAAGTGACCTGGTCCCCTTTCATTTCATGCTCTACTTATAGAGTTGATTCCCCAATAGGGAAGAAAACCCAACTGTCTATGAGACCTCCTTCAGAAAGGCTTACCAAACCTTTTGTCTCCTTCTCCATACTAGAAATAACTATGGCAAGATTCATTCTAGGTTAGCTTTTTGTCAGTCATGGAAAATAATAAATTCCCCTCTTATTCAAAAGATCTATCAGTGGTTTTTAAAGAACAAAATTACTCTTTGCATGCTCTACTCTACTATTCTCAGTCTCTACTTCTTTAATAGCCATACACCTTTCTCATCTTACAGTATACACACACACACACACACACACACACACACACACACAAACCAATTTTCAAACCTCAGCGTAATACTCCATTTCCCTGCTTAATCAATATTTCAGAAATGGGTAAAAATAAGTAATTTCTTAAACCAAGAGAGTTGAATACATTATTAGGTACATAGAGGGGAAGGAATGAGTGTGTGTGTGTGTGTATGGTCAATATTCTGCAATAAAAACCGTCCTTTTAAGTGAAAACAAGTATTTTTCTTTTAATTAGTTTTATGTCATTCAAACACAGCTCAGATCACCATGACCAAATTATGTTAAAGTGTGATTTTCCTTTGCCATGAGTCAGCTTTGAAATTAATTGCATTTTAAGAAGGGTACAAAATGGGAATGCTTATATTGTTGGACTGATAGACACTGGTATGCTCAATTCAGAAAGCAATTTCACTTCTTGTAACAATAGACTTAAAAATGCTCATGCCTCCAACTCCGTAATTCCACTTCTAAGAGTCTCTATAAAGACAATATCCTTTAATACATAGAAAACTTCATTCAGAGATACATATTATTTATGCTCAAAAAGGTGTGAAATAACCCAAGTTTCCAACCATAAGAAAACAAGTAAATGCAGGCATATTCTCTAGATGAGCTATCAATCCCATTAGAATAACTTTGTGAGGAATTTGTAATAACAGAGAAAACTAAAAATAAATAGAAAGGCAAAAATATATTTTAGATTACATTGTAATCACAACTGTTAAAAAGTAATTACAGACAAATGGTTGAAAGGAAATATTGGGTTGCAAGAAAAGTCATGAGGCATTTTTGCATAGAAGAACAGAATAATACATCATGACTTTTCCAACAACCCAATTCATCATTTAAAAGAGGTCTTTTGATAATAAGATTATGAATGACTATATTTCTTCTTTCATTTCCAAATTTCTCAATGAACATGTAATTGTGAAAATTTATTTTTAAGGTGAAATTCAAAAATCAGAGAGGAAAGGAGGAAGCTGGATCTTCAGTAATTTTTGTGGATAAGAAAAACTGAATCAACAAAGCTGGTGGTCTACAGATTAATACTAAGAGAAATGGGAATCAGAAGGTAAACCTCTGCCCCTGCTTTTAACCAGCCGAGATGGTTACTTGCCTGCCACTGTGAAATTTACTAAATGGTTTCACATGTGAGGTGAGGTCAGCATCCAAGTTCAGCAATTAAGCCTTCTTCTCACCCTCAAAGCTTGCATTTCCAAGAAAGTCTTGAAGAGAACTACAGAAAACTTTGAAGTACACAACGTTATGTAGCACAAAGCAGAACAAAAGTTAGAAGTGAGAGAACCCACGTAAGAACACCAAGCAGTGTTCCCTGAACCATGACCAAAGAGTTAGATGATAATGCTGCTGGGCAGTGAACAAAGGTATTTACCAATAAACTGTAACTAATATTATATATAATACTGCTGCTCTTCCATTCTAGTTATCTTTTTTTTTTAAATGCAAGCCTGATTGGATAACATTTCTTTCCTTTTTTCAATTTTATTTATTCATTTACTTACTTTATTTTGACCAGAGAGACAGAGAGAGAGAGAAAGTGGAAAAGCAAGCCACCAGGTCCAGGACTTGAACCATGGTTAACCTAGTGGGAATGTCCAGCGCCTTAACCACCACACCACTTGCTGGATAACATTTCTAAACTGTGAGTCACACAACTTAACAAAAAGAGTTCAAATCTAGATTTGCTTAGTCCACACTGTTTTTTACATTTTAAAATAAGAGTTCATATAGAACAGACAGATCAAGAGTCTTACAGAAAATACACTGCTGAGAGCAGCCAGAGGCACAGCAGTAATACAAGTGGACTCACATGGGAAAGGTTCTGTGTTTGTGGCCTAGGCCTTTCTGTGCAGGTGCATGCATCTCTGTGATCCAGGCTGGCTAAAAGTGAAGACTCTATTATGGGTTTCTTTCTCAGAAGAAACAGATATATCAACTTTGTAAAACCCAAAATGCGGGACCAGTAGACATGGCCTAATGGTTATGTCGCTGGACTCCCATGTAGTCTACTGCGGTTGCAGAAGTGGCTTAAACTCACGCCGGATGCGTGTGTATGCGTGCCCAAGATCCAAAGAGGAGAATGGAAGAGAAGGGATTGAGGAGTGGCCATCCCCTCTGGGGGGTGATTTCTTACTTTCTGTCTCTGTGTTTCTGGTGAGCGCATGTACCCTATAGCAAAAACCTCTCTAAATAAAAACTAAGAAAGAAAAAGCAAAAGCACTGGTTTTCTCCAAGATAAGCCTCTCTCAGTGGGTAAGGGCCATGACACAGAGATCAAGATTCCAAGGTGTGTTGAGAACTGAGTTACATTGCTCCCATTCTTTCTTACTGGAGGTTTCCTCCTTACCAGTCAGTGAGCACAGGGAGGCCAGCCCCTAGAACATGCACTTCAGGTTAGTGCTGTGGAGCCAGTGCCCAGCCTCTGATGTGCTTTTAAAGTTCTTCCTACAGGCCGAACCATTTACCCAGCTCCTACTGGTAAACGTGCTTTTGATAAGGCAGAGGCCAATGGGAAAAACTCACCAGGATGGTGTCTCAGTTGAATAATTTACAATATACACAAGTTAGAAAAGAGTAGTTTGAACTCTGAAGCCATTTACTGCATGGACTTTAGTAGAAGTTTCCTAGAGACATAAAAATCCTGAGAGAAAAGACCATAGAGCTTAATCTCCCTCTCCTGTCTCTGACTCCCAGTGGGGCTTGGAGCAGCCAGGAAGCTAGGGTAGTTTTACTATATTACTCAGTTCAACAGGAGACAGTGAAGAGACATGTTCCTATTGGCACAGGGTACGAGGATGGCAAGGTTATGGCCAGTTGTTAATTAAGCCATTCAAAGTACAAGGCACAAGGAAATTTAGACAACACCTACCCTTTACAACGGTCACTACGATTGACACTCAAGACCCAGTCATTTCCTACTTGGTGTATGAAAATGTATCTAAGGGCATTTCCTGAGAAGTATCACACATCTTGATTTCTCTTTGTCTCTTCAAACTTTCTTATATATTATAACCCTACTTAGTTGAGAGTTGTCTTTAGTGGATATAACAATTTTCTGCAATTCCATTAGAAAGGCTAGGTAGTTTAGAAATTTCTTAAAAAAAAAAAAAAAAAGATCTAAAGCTAACCTGTTCTCACCATGAATCAACCGTGACAAGAATAACATGTGTTTTGTATTATTTAGGCTTTAGGTGACATTTTGAATTTTTCATATTTTTTCTTTCTTTGTCTTCACTAAATAAAAATAAAACTGAACAGGCAACCATCTCAAGAATAACTCAGTTCTCTGTGTAAAGCACAAGACTTAAAAATTTAACTTCAGATTAAAAGTATAAAATAAAAAAAAATAATAATAAAATTTCAACTTAAGAAAGAGCAGTAGATTTCAGACTCTAGAGAATGTCAATGAGTTTGTGCATCACAAAGACCAACTCACCAGCATGAGCCTTGAGTATGTGAGTTTTCAGTCGGCTGTTATAGGAGGACTTGAAGGAGCAGAGTTTGCATCGGAATGGTTTATGGTGTCCATGGTGGGTTTGCATATGGCGATCCAAACTTGATGTAGAAGAGAAAAAAAAGAAAGTGATAAGATTAAGCACTGCATACCATGTTTTCTCATTGCCCTCTTCAGGTATCCTATTTTAAAGATGTTTAGTCTTTTTATTTTTTTTTTTTAATGATGGTGCTTACCAAATATAAATAAATAGCCAAGAGTTCCTGTACCTACTCTAAGAGGAAAGGAAGCTAAGGGAAGAGATCAAGAGATGTTTTTGGATTGAGAGATAGGGCCATGGTAACGAGTCATGTAGATCAATATTGCCCTTTTTGCAGAGCCCTGGTAATTGGAAGAGAGCATACAAAAAGAGAAGGTATATTGTACGTAATTCAACTTTTTCTGTCAAGCCAGCCAGAGTGTTCCAATTAGTACTCTAGTTTATTCAATAAAAGAATGGGCGGAAGGGACAGTCCCATAGCATAGAAGTTAAGGGAAATGAGTCCTACATGGCCGACTCATGGTTCAAATCCTAAAACAATCTGGCCACCTAGGCATGCAGGCCCCAGATCTTGACAGGACAGAGAAATGCAGGAGAAGAGATTGTGGTATGACCATGCCCTGCTAGAGGTGCTTTTTCCCTCTCCTCCTTTCTCTCTCTGGTGAGCATATGTTTTCTCTGGCAAGATAAAGAAGAAAAGAATTTTTAAAAAGAAAAAGAATAGGATTTAGAGAACTTTAGCATTTTAAAAGGGCTGAGTTTCCTTTAAATTTAATTCTGTTTACATCTTGAACAGTAGACTGAAGAATGGCCTGTGTTGTTTTCAACATCGATATAAATATGGAGACATCTTTACCACACTTGCTGTATACCAGTCTTCCAAAAGCAACCTATAAGAAAGTTATTTATTTATAACTAACCTCCAGTACTACATAATTATTAGTAAAAAAAAAATTATAATAAATCTAGCAAATGAGGTATGGGTAGAAACTCTAATTTGAAACAGTATCCCAGAGAACTAAATTCTATTCTAAATGACTCAAATGGGAATGTTACTACTTATCATTTAAACTATAATGCTCTCCTGAGCTCCAAAGCAATATTTTCATTTGCCTCTGGACAGTTCCCTCTGGCTGTCCTTTAGCTATCCTAAATTCAACTTGCCCTGAACAAACCCTGCAGTTTTTTTTTTTTCTATGAAACAAATTCTCTTCACTTCGTTGTTTCTATAAATGGTACTACCATTCTCCCAGTCAACCAGAATGAAAACCTAGGTGCCATCTCTACTTTATTTTTATTTATTTATTCATTTTTGGAGAGGTTTTCGCTATAGGGCATGTGCACTTGCCAGACAGACACAGAGAGACAGAAAGCGAAAAATCACCCCCCCAAGGGGGATGGCCACGCCGCAATCCCTTCTCCTCCATTCTCCTCTTGGGATCTTGGGCACACATGCACATGCGCCCGGCGTGAGTTTTAAGCCACTGGGTCCGGGACGCGAACCTCGGTCGACTACGTGGGAGTCCAGTGACATACCCATTACACTAACTGCTGGTCCCCATCTGTACTTTATTTTGTCCTTCGTCCATATAGTTAGTGTATTTGCCAGTCCTGTAGATTCATTCCCTCAACCATTCCCTAACTTCTTCACTCAGTTGCTATTACTTCATTATTGCTTTTTAGTTGATCTCCTCCCCCATCGTGTTTTCAACTCAATTGTATGAGCTATGGAGTTGAGATTAACTGGGATAAAATCCCAGCTATTACTTGTAAACTACATGACTGCTAGGTCTCACTTTACTTATCCACAAAATAAAGATACTATTAACCTCGAGGGTTGTTTTGAGAATGAAAGGATGCAATTATTTGAAGGCACTTAGTACAGAGCCTGGTACACAGTGAGAAGCAACAAAACTTAGCTATTACGATTACTCATGTCAGAGTCTTCCTTTCACTACCAATATAAATTATATAATACTAAGTCCGATATTTTAAGACTTCCAAATATGCTTTCTATTTGAGTATTCAAACTTTATTTTCCACTACCCTCTGACATGTAACTTGAAGTTAAATAAAACTGAACCGCCAGCTAGACCCCCAGTGAGATTCAGCTTATGTTCTCTCATCATTTTCCCCACATCCTATGTCTTTTATCAACTATTCAAATCCTAGCTTCCTATTTAAGATTTAATTTTACTCTACTCTGTTAAAACCTTCCTGACTCTTCCAAAGGGTATATGACATTTCCCTTCTTTGAAACGTCATAGCATTTATTGTTTATTTTTAAATATGTATGCCTTATTTTGCCAAGTAGTTTGTTTAACTTAATTAACTGAAATTTCATCAGAGGGGTACAGAGCAAGAGAGAGGGAAAATGAGAGAAAGCCAGTTGACAGGTCCAGGACTTGAATCACGGTCGGCCATATGGGAGTCCAGCCATCCTTAACCACCACACCCCCTGCCAGCCCCATTGCCAAAGTACTTTGTATATTTCCTAAATAACCCATCCCTCCAGCTTCCTAAATTCTCTTAGATACAGACCATGTTCTACTCATCTTTACATTTCCCCAAAGTACATCGCCTAGCACAGGTTGTGTTTATTCTTAAATAATTATATTATATTACACAGAACACTGTGTATCAGATGATATGATAGATGCTGGTCAATAAAGACTCAGTGAACTGAAAAGAACTATGTAAGTTTTATGACAATGCATAGATCTGATTAGCTAGGAGGCGGTGTATAAGAATAGCTTATAACTTATTCTAACCTCTGTAGAAACACGGCCTCCTTCTGCTTTTCAACAACCACTGCTTAGCACTTCATCTTTTAAGAAGTGAACAGCCCATCATTTATTTTCAATTATCATAAAAATAAACAGCATGTCAGTTGTACACTTAGTCACCTTATCCAGAGCTGTTAGAATGCATTATCGACTATTTACATTTCACAGTTGACAGAAAAAGGCACCAAATGGTGCTTCTCCTCAGAAGCACCTCTGTGTTGCCCCCAAAAGCCTTACACAACCTACCCCAACTTAAAATTTCCAAAGCTGTGGTAAGTAATGAGAAGCCCCTCTCTTCAACTTCCCTAAACTTCAAACAACTTTTCCGCCACCCATAAATGTCCTGACCTTGCAAAAGGTCTTTTTAAAAATCTCAAGTAATGGGAGTCCAGCCATCCTTAACCACCACACCCCCTGCCAGCCCCATTGCCAAAGTACTTTGTATATTTCCTAAATAACCCATCCCTCCAGCTTCCTAAATTCTCTTAGATACAGACCATGTTCTACTCATCTTTACATTTCCCCAAAGTACATCGCCTAGCACAGGTTGTGTTTATTCTTAAATAATTATATTATATTACACAGAACACTGTGTATCAGATGATATGATAGATGCTGGTCAATAAAGACTCAGTGAACTGAAAAGAACTATGTAAGTTTTATGACAATGCATAGATCTGATTAGCTAGGAGGCGGTGTATAAGAATAGCTTATAACTTATTCTAACCTCTGTAGAAACACGGCCTCCTTCTGCTTTTCAACAACCACTGCTTAGCACTTCATCTTTTAAGAAGTGAACAGCCCATCATTTATTTTCAATTATCATAAAAATAAACAGCATGTCAGTTGTACACTTAGTCACCTTATCCAGAGCTGTTAGAATGCATTATCGAATATTTACATTTCACAGTTGACAGAAAAAGGCACCAAATGGTGCTTCTCCTCAGAAGCACCTCTGTGTTGCCCCCAAAAGCCTTACACAACCTACCCCAACTTAAAATTTCCAAAGCTGTGGTAAGTAATGAGAAGCCCCTCTCTTCAACTTCCCTAAACTTCAAACAACTTTTCCGCCACCCATAAATGTCCTGACCTTGCAAAAGGTCTTTTTAAAAATCTCAAGTAATGATTCCATGGTCTCCTGGGTTAACCATCCTAATTTTACCTCTTTAGCAACTCAATTTCTCAAACAATGATTAGGATTTGGCTAATGTTTGACAGACACATGAGTAAACTCATCGACTCGCTACAGCTGCATCTTCCCTTCCCATAGCAATTCCTCCAATTCTCATTTTAAAAATTATTGCATTTACCAAATCTCATGGCATCCAATCTATCTCCTGGTCTTAGCCCCATCTTACAGATGAGGTGCCTAAGGCTGAAGATAATAAAGCAATAGGTATGAACCATGAGTGGGGCTCTCTTACACATCCAAGCTTCTACTCTAGCTTCTCTGCCTTCTACTACAACATCCTCCCGGTAACCACCAGTGACCACCCAAGAGCACTTACTTGTGTCTGAAAGCAGAAACAAAGGAGCAATACTGGCAGCTGTACTTGTCCTCGCGGGTAAACATGGCCAGGGCCAGGTGGCTCCTCTCATGAGAACGCAGCCCCTGCATGGACATCAGGACTCTATCACATTGACTGCAATGGTATCCCCCCGGCCGGGTTTCATCCTCCAACATTCCATCAAGCAAGCAGTGTTCACCATCCACCCGGCCCACCAGGGCGCCACTGGCATCTTTGGCTGCTTCCAATCCATCCAGAAACAAGTGGGAAGGGTCTTCGGCCTCCTGCTAAGAGAACCACACACACACACATGCCCCACCAACAAAATAAATATCCATTGTCATTGCCCCCAGCTTTCCTCTTCTCCCTTCATTCTCCCAGCTCATCAACATTTCCTGTCAAGGTTTCCTCCTCTGCCTCTCCGACTTCCTCTAAAGCGGAGGGTGAGCATGACTATCATTCAAGTGGTGATTTTAGGGCAACACATCTGGACATGGGTTCCTATTGTACAGGAAATAAGAAAGAGGTGCTCTCCCAATATGAGGATGGTCCACTCACTTAACCTCCATTTTAAAAAGTTGACATAAAGTTGGGTTTAAGGTAATGGCTTAGAAAAACAAAAGAAGGGAAGAAAGAAGAAAAAAAGCCGAGTAGCTGGGCCACCTAGGAACCTTGGGCTATCATTAGGAAATTAAACAAAGCCAAAGGTCCTGCTCTCTGTCCCCCCCGCCCCCGGTCGTAGGCAGTGACTTTAGCCCTTGACTGACTTTAGCCTTTGACTCATGGTTGCTGCATAATAGATTCAAAAAATTAAGGAGTAGCCCAGTTTGAAATCACCCATTTTTTGAGATGACTTCTTGGGTTACTGATTACATGGGAACAGTCACTGTCTCTCTCACATGAGCAAGCCTAGGACAGATTGTGGTGGCTATTGTCACTACCCTTGAATGGCCACTGTGCTGCAGAAATATATAAGGCTTCTGATTTCAGTGAAGACAAGTAGCAGCTTCACTTTCACAGTAAGCTGGCAAAACGGGATTCAAAACCAAGAAGGGCAAATGACCAAAATATATTCATGTATCCGGAGAGAAAGGGCAGAACCCTTGACTGGAGTCTATATTCAAAAACAGTAAGTGCTTAGCGATATCTTGAAAGGCAGGAATGGTGGCTTGGTTATGGAAACGGTGGCTGCTGTGAGAATTATGAGGAGCCCTCAAAAAAAATCAGGGGAAGAAGGAAGACATTTGTCTGCATCACTAAAGAGAGGGCTGGGGGCAGACAAATCATGTCAAAGGGCTCTCGGGCAGCTATGGCTTGAAGGCTTTTAGGTAGAATGTCTCTTGCACACCCAGGATATGCTCTCTGCATCCTCAGCCAAGTAAGAACAGTAAAACATCAGCAGTGGGAGGAGCAGAGGATGATGGGAACAGAATCCACTTGATTCCTCGCAAGAGCTCAGGCAACCTGGAAGAACGAAGACCTAATGGCACTAAACGCAGAATAGAAGGATGACCTGAAGCCTCCTACACCGAGAATCCTGGACCTTCTGTTTCCACCAAACTATCCGCGTGGAAGGAAATCAGATCAAAACTCGACCTTTCCCTGTACAGAAAGATGAGGAAGGTCCAACCTGTAAAGAAATCAAAACAAGCCAAACCAATCCAAGCGTGACTCAGGAATGTCTGCATCCTGAGATGCTTTCCTGAGCTGCTTTCAGCAATGGTGTTAGCAAGTAACTCGAATTGTTCACGCACTAGAAGGCTCATCCAGACCTTCCCTTCTCACCTTCACGGCGGCTGACACGGCGGGGACATTGCCATACTGGACGTGCTTTCGGAGGTGATTGCAGATGGCTCGGAGCGTTGGGTGCACTTCCACACAGAATTTACACTTGTAGCCCACCACTTTCCTCTCCTTGATCTTTGGCACCTCTTCTAAGTGACCAAAAGGCTGGTAAAATACAGTGGTAGCCATCAGTACTCCGAGCCCTCCCTCAATTGCCAGTTTTTATTCTTGTAGATTACTAGTGTATTTATTTTAAAGCAGATTAGCAGGTTAAAAACCAAGGGACATAGGCGAGCATTTTTTACATAACGGATGCGTCAGTCATGGCACGCTGCCTACTATGCAGTCTCTGGAACCCAAATATGTTAAGGCTTGTGAGTAGAGTGGATGGAGAGTAGCTCATCGTCATCGCCACTAAGTTATCTGGTTTTCAAACCAGTTTTAACTACGCAGGTGAAACGTTGCATAGCTGCGCCATTAATGAACTTCTTGATAAAAAACAAAAATCTACTCCTTGCGATATTAGGTTCACGTAGCAAACACTGAAGACCAACACATGGCTGAGAAGTGCTAATGATACCAAGAGACAGCCCACAACTTTCTCAGGAAAGAGCGAGCGTTGTCGTACAACCAGGCTTCAGAGAAGGCTACTTGGCAGAAAGACAGACATAGCAACCACCCCGAACCTCCCCTGGGGAACCATGGGAGGAGTCAGAGGGAGGGAGGGCGGGGAACAGGACCGTGGAGAGGGGTGAGCATAGAATGGATAATCAAGCTCGAAATGTTTAATTGACATATTGAGCTCTCTGGCAAGCTAAGTCACTAGGAAGCCGGCAGCAGTTTGGCTGGCAACGAAGAAGTGCATGTGGGCACCAGTGATGAGAGGCCTCCTGGGGGAAGGGAAATCAAAACATATCCTTACCCTCTCTTGTTTGAAATCTGCAAAAGCACCATCTGCATATTTCTGCTTGCTCAAAAGCTGTTTCCTCCTCTCCTGACGTTTGGCACGCTTCTGGAATTCCTCATTGTGAATGTTCAAGTGTGAGGTCAGCTCCGCTGTGCTTTGCAGTTTGCTATCACAGTGCTTACACTGGTAGGCGGAGTTCTGCAAGCGCGGACCGTTGCCCAGAATGACAAAGTCCCTCTTTAGGTCCCGACTGTGGTGGTCAGTGTAATGCATGCACAGCAGCTCAGCCGTGCTGAAGGACAGCTTGAAGCATTTGATGCAGCGAAACGGGAGCCACTCGATTTCTTGAGCCTCACCTTCCATCTCGGCTTTCTCAAAGCTGCCTCTCTCCTCTTCCTCCATCAGCGTGGGCCTCTCGTGTTCGTCAGCGTATACGGCAGTGAAGTAGCCCCCCAACTTGCTGGCATGCTGCTTCTTTGGGAACACCCCAGGATGGCGCTTCATGTAATGGGACACGATGCCCTTCTTGCTGAATGACTGGAAGGAGCACAAGGAGCACTTTTTCTTCTCCACAGCCCGCCGGAGTTCCTCGCTTAGCTGCGGGGAGTCATCCTTGGGTGGAGATGGGATGATCACCTTGTTGGGCTTGTCACTGATGGTTCTGGAAGCTGCCAGGCAGTGGGTGTAATACGCATCGATATCGTGGCGCTTCTGGTAGTGGGCTGCCAGCCCCTTGCGAATAGGGTTGGTGTAGGCACACAGGGCACATTTGAAGAGGTTGTTCTTGCCCTCCGGCTGGGCTCGGACGTTGTTGTGCTTGATACGGTAGTGCCTGGCAATCCCCTTCCTCGTGGAGCAGAAGTACTTGCAGAGCTGGCACCGGAACACAGTGTGGGAGACCAGGTGCGAGGTAGAGAAGTGAGAAGTGGACACGGGCTCCTCTCCCACCTCCTCCTCGGTAAGGGAGACTTGGGAGGGGCTCACTTCAGTGGTTATCTCAGGCTCAAGGGAGACTGGCAGCTTCGGGGGCGACGGGGAAAAGACATCGAATTCTGGCTGATTGTGGTACTTCTCGTAGTGGATTTTGAGTTTCTCCAAAGTGCCATGCGTGTATGGACACAGTTTGCACCGGTAGGCACCATACCCTTGCTTGAAAATCCGACTCGTCTCCTCCACGTCATTCTGGGATATGTCAGCAGACTGCTCCACATCGTGCACAAAGTCCTCAGCAGTCACCTTGATGGATGGGTGTCGCTTCTGGTAGTGGGTCAGGACGCCATGGATGCGGGTATTGATATAGGGGCAATGCCTGCATTTGTAGACAGCACCTGGGTTGATATCGATGTCCTGGGCAAAGTCAGCAGCCTTCACTTTCATGCCTGGGTGCTTCTTCCCATAATGGGTGAGAAGGCCATGCAAGTTGTTATACTCAGACTGGCACACTGTGCACTGGTACGGGGTAGAGGATATGGCAGGGTTGGCTGAAGCTAGTTGCATGCTTTTCTCTGGGGAAAGTCTTGCATCCTCTGGGCATTCAGCTTCTTGTTCTGGGAGTGGGGTGGGCATGTTGTTTTCACAATTCAGAGGGCCTGCCAACTCTTCAGATGAAAGGATGGGCTTCTCGACCACATCTTTCTCCTTGATGATATCCAGCAGCACCGACTCATCACCATTCATGGCCCAGGGGTGGAATGCTTGGTAGTGATTGGTGATATCCCAGATGGAGACGGCTTCAAAAACACAGTCCCTGCATCTGTATGTTTTGGCTTCAGCGGGCATGGTGAGAGAGGGAGGGGACGGGTCTGGCCCAGCCCAGAGTTTGGTTGCCATGTAAGTATAATCAACATAGTGCTCTGGATGCCTCCTTTGGTAATGCAGGAGCAAACCATTAGGCTCCATGTGGGAATAGATGCACCATTCGCAGTGGTAGCCAGCTTCTATCAAGCCATCTAGGAATGCCCACCGCATGATGGACGTCACCGTGGCTTTCAGGGCAGGGTGGTCTTTCTTGATATGCTTCCTCAGTGCATAGAAGTAGGGGGAGGTATATGAGCACTGCCTACATTTGAGTGCTCGGAGTTTAGTTTTGTCCCGCTCCACACTAGATGGGGGGACAAGCATGCAACTTGCAGGCTTCTTCTGGTTTCGGTCACAAAGGCTTCGGATGGTGGCTGTGTGCTGCCGGATCACATCTGCATTGGCCTTGAAGTCTCGGTGCTTCTTCTGGTAATGAATGAGTACACCTTTGACCGTCCTGTTCCCATAATCACAGTGCTGGCAAAAGAACATCTCATTCTCCACAGGAGGGCCATCTCTCTCAGAGCTGCTTCGGTTCAGCTGTTGCATGGGGATGGGTGGCCGAGGAGAGCCTTGGGGCCCTTCGGCCCCTCTCATCATTGCAGCTGTGGGAGGAGCCTGTCTGATATATTTGGCAGTAACCTTTATTTCTGGGTGTCTTTTCTGGTAGTGGACAAGCACTCCCACAACTGAGCGATTGCTGTAGGAACAGTGTTTGCAGTAGTAAAGCTCAGTACTGAGGTCTGGTGGCGGGGGTTGTGGGGGGGGTGGGGAACCCATGTTGGACATTTTGGGAGACATTGGAGCACCCACCTCAAATGATAACTGAGAAAGGGCAGAGCCCCTGTCCACAGACACCATTCGCATGGTTTTCTGGATCCTAAAGTAGGAAGCCTTTTCCTCAGGGTGTTTCTTCTGATAATGAACCAAGACAGAATGCATGTTGGGGCTTGCAAATGAACAAACGTCACAATCGTAAACAACAACAGTGTTGACTGAAGGGTCCTTCTGATTTTCACATTCTGGAGTAAAAGTCTTTGAAGGAGTGTTTTTATTAAACGTAGCTGGCACACCACCACCACGAGCCACAGGAGTGGAAGTCGCCATGTTCTTGGGAGCCGAATTCAGAATCTCCCTCAAGGTCTGGGATTCAGTATTCAGCCCTTCCTGCTGCTCCACGACATAACTTGAAAATATCATTGCGTTGTTGATCTTCACTGTGGGATGCATTCTTTGGTAATGTGGCATCAGGCTTCTAACATTCGGGCTCGTGTATGAACAAAACCGACACCGGTAGATCAGGTCTGAATGGTCAAAGTTGAGTACATTCATGGCTTCTGGGTGGTGTTCGCCATAGTGCTGCTGGAGATCTTCAAAGTTGGTGTAATCAATGTAGCACTCTAGGCACCTGTACACTGCACTGTGATCATTGGGGTCCAAGATGTACCTAAAGCTGAATTTAATGTACGGGTGCATTCGTTGGTAGTGGGTGCTAACACTCCGGGCAGATTTGTTGTTAAAGTCACAGTGTTTACAATAGTAAAGCCTTCCAGAGTCACTAAAGTCTGTATTTTCATTATTATGCTCAGTTCCATAGATGGGAGTTTGGGTGTTCAGCAGAGCAGGATTGGAAACTTGGTGATCTTTCATGTTTGTTGAGGAGCCATAATAATCCTCTTCATCTTCAGAAAGGGTAAGTTCAATCTCTGCACCATTGGTGGCATTGTAATCATGGGCGACATTTCTGAAGTTGGGCTCCTTCGGGGGCTCACTGGTATCTCTTGCCCAAATCTGTTGCGCTGAAAAGGACGTGGGGACTTCCAGAATCGGCTCTGTTGGCTCTTCTTCCCTATCCAACTCTACCTCTATTTCTACTTCATTGTCTTCTTCTTCCTCCTCATCATCTTCAACATTGATCACTGCATCTTCCTGCTGCTTGGTTTGGTTAATTTTGCTCTGCAAGTTGCTGGCTATCTCGTCAATCCTAGTTCTCTTCTTCACAGGTGATAAATCTAGAGGAAAGTCATTAGCAAGCTTCCTAGAAGACTTAGCTACAAAATTGTTCTTGGAGGACAACCCAAGAATTGAGGTCTGACTTTTCTTCACAGTGTTGCTGGAAGAGGGGTGGCTGTCTGTCTCATTTTCCAATGATAGGCTTGAGGGCTGCCCCTCAAATTTTGGCAAGTTGTCACAGAACGAATGTTTGTGCTGCTGATGGACTCTTAGCCCTTTCAGAGTCGTGGTGGAATAATTACACATGGTGCATTTGTAAGGGTGCAGTGGTGGGGCTTGCGTGGGTGGTGGTGGCTGCTGTGTTGGTGGTGGCTGGGGCTGTGGCTGGGGTGGCACCTGAAGTGGTGACTGTAGCTGTGGTGGCTGTGGCTGCTGCAGTGACTGTGGCTGTAAAGGTGGTGGTGGCGGCGGTGGTGGTGGAGGTTGTGGTGTCTGTTGCTGCTGCAAGGGATCCAACATGACTCCTGACTTTCTACCGTTGATGCTTGAACTCTCATAAGACAGCACACCTTCATTCAGTGAGGAAGAAATGCTTTCACTCTGAGAATTCACAGCATCCCAATCTGACGTTGTACCCGTGTGACACTGTTTGTGAGCCCCAAGTTTTAATGAGCTCTTACAAGTAAACGGACATTCGTCACATTTGTAGACAGCTGTCTTTCCAGATAAGTGAATGTTTTCTATGTGACGGGAGATGCTACGTCGATGCATGGTGAGGAAAGGACAAAAGGGGCACTGGAACCTATTCATGAATCTTCTAAACGGAATCCCCTTCGTCTCCAATAATTTGTTGCCATCTGAGCCCATCAACTGTTCTGCAGATATGCCTGATGCCTGGTGATCCATAGCATTTAAACCATTCTCACTGTCTATTTCATTTAACTCTTCATCAGAACTAGAGTCATTTAGCATGCTGTTAGTTTCCAGGTCAGTAGAATTGGTCATGTCAGTCATTCCATAACGAGATCTCTCTGCCAAGTTAACTAGGCCAGAATTGTGAGGTGACTTCGGCTTCATCTGAGGGTAAGACATGGGTGAAAATTTGGAAGCTGAAGAAGAATTGGGTCTCATGATGGAGTTGCTCATGGAGCCCCTGAAGTTGGAGACGTTAGTGCTTGGTATCTCCCGGCTTGCAGCATTCATGGACAGATAGGTGGAGTTGGAAGTGGGGCTGGGGGCATTCTTGTTCTGCACTTCAGGTAAATTAGTCCCTTCTTGTTGCTGTCTAAGACTGGAAAGGATCTTGACCATACTACGGTGTTTCTTCATCATGTGGTCACACCAGCGTTCTCGGCGAGGCGTCTGGTAGCTGCACCACTCACAACAAAAATTGCCTCGAGACTTGGTCAAAGGTTTGACCATGGATTCTAAGATGCTGCGTTCCACAACCTCTGCTGGCAGTTCCTTGCAGGGATCCTGCAGGGACACTGGTGGAACCACAGGGTCTGGCATGGGAGCAGGAACAGGTGGGGGAGCAGTAGTCTCTTTCAAGTTGTTTTTGTGGTACATTTTCTGATGCTTAATTATTCTTGCCCTCCTCGGCGACTTGTATGTGCAAAACTGACAAGAGAAGACCTTTCCAAATCCTTCGTGCGTCATAATATTGTAATTTAAGGATCCTGGGACATGGGGTCCTGCTG